AAAATAATATTTTAAACTTTAACAAGATTTTATTAAAAACGGAGGAAACATCACATTTTTGAAAGGAAGTTGATTTCCTTTCCCAGGCTAACTCAATGATGAGTCGAGTTTTTGCACACGGTACGGAAGACCAAATAAAAGGGACATTTTCCCGCCATTCGTGGCAGTCCGTTAGAAAAAGGTTGCCACGCAAGAAGTCCGACATACGCAGTCCGCTGAAGAAGGTATTGCCATACGTGAAATATGATACGACATAGGCAGTCCGATAAGAACAGGTATTGCCATACCAAGAAAATACGATACAAGTGTCCGTCCTACAAGACCGACAAGGCCATACTAGACCGATTAATTGAGGTATAAATATACGACAAGATTGTCAAAGGAGAAAGATAAAAGAACCTCCCATAGAAAAGAGAAAAAGAGAAATAAGAAGGAAGAAGATCCTCATACAGAAACAGATACGAAAGATACGGTGAAGGTAATATAGTCTCTGATAGATCGATGTAAACTCTCTCACGAGTCAGGTTTAGAAATAAGATAGATTAAGTTAGATTTAGATTTAGATTAGATTCATTCCTTGTATATTTTTATTATTTAATTTATTAAATATTTTGATTTGTTTTATAAAATGGTTTGGTTCTTATTAGACATTCATTTTCATTCAAGTTTCCTTAGCTCCTCCGAATCCCGAGTTTAAGGATAACGCGTGTTAATCCGCGTTATCCTTAAACTCGGGAAATCCTGGCGAAAGGAAAAGGGTGATTACGCGATCATCGGATTCCGCTCTAAATTAACATTCAAACTGTAAGTCCCTCCGCACTCGATTTTCTTTGAATAGAAAAACTCTCCTTGTAAGACAAACAGAGGGCTATTCTAGACAATAGTTGCCGATTAAGAGGTACAAGAGTCTTACCACTCTGTATCCACGGCTGAGCCCCTCACATTTGTGTCTCTTAGGTTTTTACCAATTTTTTTACACTTATTATCTGGAACTCGGGGGAAAATATAAACTTCCATGAAATCTGAATGTCCCACTCTCCTCCTGATTTGATCTCCTTGACATTTCGTGATAAGCATAACAACGATAGGTTAAAAGTCGTGGAACATTGCCAATTAGTTTTATGTTCAAATCCAGATAAAGAGTTCACTGTTCCGTTAACAGCTGTATTTATAAAAGTACAAAGTGAAGAATGTGTTGGTAGTTCCGGAATCGGAACTGTCTCGACACTCTGTGTGGAACTATTTTTAGTAGTTTCGAATCCGAAGTGGTTTCGACCGGAACTATTCACTTCTAACTCTGGATTGTTCGAAATTAGAAGATACCACTGCATATGTATGTCCTTTATTAGATACGTATATGAATTTTGAAAAAAAATTTGACGAGATTGATTTCATTATTTCAGTTTTATTAAATTATGGATCATTGATTTACCGAACTGTCTGTTAATGATAAAACTATTATACGTAAGAGGTTGTCCACACTGGAAGAAAGAGAGGAGATTACGACAGTAAGACAAGGGTAGAGAAAGGGAGGCGATGAACTTCAGTGCACGTCCGTTTATTTTATTAAATTGTATACAGTTTATGTATTTTACTATATTTATTTTGAAATTTTTGTATGTTTCGTTTCTACTTACGGTATCTATCATTCATATAGTGAGAAAGGTTTTAAGGGGGATCGAGTTTTGTTGGACGTCAAAAAGGGGAGGAAGTTATGGAACATCTCCTAATGGAAAACTAGAGGATTTTGCACATGACTGTTTTGCCCATATTCTACAAAACTGTACTTATTATTCGATGTTACCACCAAATTATATCGAAAATCCTGCGATTATTATTTCCGTTAGATCCGCTATCGATCATATACAAATTCTGCATGACAACGATCATTGGATTTGCGCTTATTACGACAGAAAACGTATTCGTATAAACGATTCTATAAATTACGGTAAAATATCTAAGAATTCAAAGTATTCTTAAGGAGATTGTATCCTCATATNAGAGGAAGGAAATCTTCTGACTCATTTGTTTGAATCCTGTCAGGTGACATATCAACTAAAAAGTGCTATATTAGGAGACGAGTTCAGATGTGATTTTTTGAAGAACGAGGTCATGTCAAAAATCACCTTATTTAAGTTTTTTTCCTTTTTCTCTAAATCTTTGGAATTTCTCCGTTAATTTATTTTATGGATTGTATGTACATTTATTAACATGATTTAATCAAATAGTCCCCATTGTAAGAAATTTAAATTTAAATCAATAAACATTATTATTATTATTTTAAGTTATAACTGTACTATTTTAATGCTTGTTTATATGTTAATAAACCATTTCTCTCTGACAAATAATTTCCCACTGTTGGCTTTAACAATCACTCTTGCTGGAAATGATGACGAGATGTTTTAGAGACATTTTTGCTTTTATTCCAAGAACTGGCGTAAAAATTATAAAATTTTGTTATAAACTTTTGTGTTATTTATTTTTAAAATTGTGATATTTTTCGAACACCATTGTATTTGAAATAAAATATATAATTTATTTAAAGCGTGACTAACACAAATAAATATAAATCGACACTGAACATGGAAAAATCCGACTATTGACCGGCTGCTGAGTTGACTACATTGTTGAGTCAACGTTAAGGATAAAGGTCAATAAAGCGACGAAAATTGAATAGGTTTTTTTGATATTTTTAAGCTCAAAATATGTTAAATGTTTATTAGAATATCATATGAACTATAAAAAAGCTGGTAAAAAGAGCTCTTGCTGGACTTTCTCAGCACTAGAACAGGAGGTTAAAGGTGCCTTTAGGAAGTCCGATAATTTTCAATTATACTACGATATAAAATTTAAGTAATAACAAAAGTTTAAAAGGAGTAATTTTGTTGGATTATGATAAAATTCTCCATTTAAAAAAATGTTTACGTTTAAAAAACACCAGGCCCACCAGTTCTACCACCAGCCAAGCGGTTCCGTTCCCCGAACACTGGGAGTTCGGTTGTGGATTCGCGCCTAGCCAGGACGGGCTGGCCACATGGAGCTTTCCGGGTATTCTCCAAGTCTGTAACGCCTGAATAGGGGCCAGTTACCCTTAAAAGACCTCCCGGAAGGCATTCCCCTAGGCAGATCGCCCAGGAGATGCGTTGCGGTAACTTAACTAAACAAACAAACAAATTTAAAAAACACTAGGACATTAGCTGAAAGTTAAAATTCTGTATGGCGCTATCTGTTATGAGATATTATTACAAAATTGATAGCAACGTAATCACAGTTAGTTTCATTTATTCCTATGTGGAGGTATTTTTAGCTTATTAGTATTGATTAGATTACGATGGATTGGAAATCTCTGGCGTTGATAGGTGCTCAAACCCATTCTGCCTTGTGAACACCAAGAGCCATTTTTATGCCTATCATAAGTTAGGAGAGGCCTATAATAGGGGCAGCCTGATGATATAGGACAGGAACGTTTCCTTTGAAAAATTCCTGAGATGCCCAACTCAGATTTGAACTAAGTTCTCAAAAAAGACACAGGCCTCAACCTCTTCAATCATCTGGCTGTCCACAATTCTACATTAAAGTTTACCAAAATGAATTAAATTCTCGAAAATTCAATCCCTAACTTTTAATCAAGTTTTCACAGGATATTATCATAAATTTTCTATATTTTAAAGTTGCACAGTGAGCAAAAAGTTCCTCTTGATGAACTAAATTTCAAAAAAGAATCCATTATAAAATTAAATGAATTAGGCGTTTATGAGACGTTTAAAAATATATTTATTAATTGACTACTGAAGAAAATTAAAATTGTAAACAGGCCACTATTCAGTCAGTTAACATTTCATTTCAATGTTTCAACAGATGGAAATCTATTGAGATATTCAAGATAGATGAAATAATGTCACCTACAGAAAAGAAATTGAAAAAAAATTCAACTCGAATTAAAATATTAAACAAAATTAAACTATCTTTGTATTACTCCAACAGAATCATAAGACTCGGTAGAGGCAAGCCGCCAAATAAGCAAGCGAACGAACGAACGAACGGCTAAACGAAGCGAACCTCAGTAGCTTAGTTTGTTGGACTAGACGGTTCCATGGAATCATTATGTTCTGTCGGAATTGCTGCTGGACTCGACGATTTCTCATCAGTTATACATACGTGTATATATATATACGATTATATATATTATTATATAATATATACGATTATATAATAGAATATTTGTGTGAGATCTGAACGTTCAGAGGAGGATCATTTTGGTCAAAATAATAAGTTGGAGAAAAGAATTAAAATAATAGAAAATAATATTTTAAACTTTAACAAGATTTTATTAAAAACGGAGGAATCATCACATTTTTGAAAGGAAGTTGATTTCCTTTCCCAGGCTAACTCAATGATGAGTCGAGTTTTTGCACACGGTACGGAAGACCAAATAAAAGGGACATTTTCCCGCCATTCGTGGCAGTCCGTTAGAAAAAGGTTGCCACGCAAGAAGTCCGACATACGCAGTCCGCTGAAGAAGGTATTGCCATACGTGAAATATGATACGACATAGGCAGTCCGATAAGAACAGGTATTGCCATACCAAGAAAATACGATACAAGTGTCCGTCCTACAAGACCGACAAGGCCATACTAGACCGATTAATTGAGGTATAAATATACGACAAGATTGTCAAAGGAGAAAGATAAAAGAACCTCCCATAGAAAAGAGAAAAAGAGAAATAAGAAGGAAGAAGATCCTCATACAGAAACAGATACGAAAGATACGGTGAAGGTAATATAGTCTCTGATAGATCGATGTAAACTCTCTCACGAGTCAGGTTTAGAAATAAGATAGATTAAGTTAGATTTAGATTTAGATTAGATTCATTCCTTGTATATTTTTATTATTTAATTTATTAAATATTTTGATTTGTTTTATAAAA